ACTGTTTGCAGTACGGTATTTTTCCAGTCTTCTGAAGTGTAAAAAGAAGAAATTCTTCCGTAAGCTCTGTCTCTGTGAAGTACTAACATGGATTAGGGGATCACGGAAGAATCAGGGAGGGGGCTAGCTAGTGCTGAACTAACTAGCACTAAATAGGAGGGGGAAAGGAGGGAGAAACCAAAATCACATAGTAAACAAGTTGTAGTGTGTGCAGTGACATGCCAGGATTGTTTATGTGGCCCCTCTATTGCCTGTGTGGCCCCTGTAGTATCATGTTTGACTGTATGGCCCATATATTGTCTGTGTGCGTCCTATATTACCTATGTGGCCCTAGTAGTGCCTGTGTGGGTGTGGCCCTTATAATACCTGTGTAGCCCCTGTATTATCTGTGTGGCCCTTGTATTACCTGTGTGGCCCCTGTTACCTGTGTGGCCCTGTATTACCTGTGTGGCCCCTGTTACCTGTGTGGCCCTGTATTACCTGTGTAGCCCCTGTATGTACCTGTGTGGCCCCTGTATTACCTGTGTGGCCCCTGTATTACCTGTGTGGCCCTTATAATACTTGTGTGGCCCCTGTATTACCTGTGTGGCCCTTATAATACCTGTGTGGCCCCTGTGTTACTTGTGTGGCCCTTATAATACCTGCGTGGCCCCTGTATTACCTGTGTGGCCCTTATAATACCTGTGTGGCCCCTGTTATGTGGCCCCTGTATTACTTGTGTGGCCCTTATAATACCTGCGTGGCCCCTGTATTACCTGTGTGGCTGCTATAATACCTATATGGCCCCTGTATTGTCTGTGTGGCCCCTGTAAGGCTCCTTTATTGTCTGTCTGACCTCTATACTCCTTGTGTGGCCCCTTTACCTCCCCCCTCTGTGGCCCCTATGTACGGTGTGAGGTGATGGGGGAGGGGCCTCACCTCGTAGATCTGCCCACCGGCCGGGTCGCCCCTCCCCCTCCTCAGGAAATGCCGCTCTTCTGGCGGGGGGGAGGAGAGGACAGGCAGCCAGGAGGGAGGGGGGCGGGGTCTCGGGTCTCCGGCGAAGGAGGGGTTAATGCCGGCCTCTCCCACAATCCTCTGCGCGGCTGCAACGTAGCCGGAAGATGGCGGCGGAGAGACACTGACATCACCGATCAGTACCCACCGACCGACCGCACCGAACACAGGATCACGTGACCCGCCTCCCGCAGGTGAGCCCCTCCCCTCCCCTTCCATGTCCGGCTCGCCCTCCCCGAGATCCGGATGTGGAGGATCCGTCCGTGTGGTACCACCCTCCCCTGCCACCCCCCCCTCTGATTCCGTATCCAGGCAGAATCGGGGGGACGGATTTGTGGTTGGCAGTAACAAGGATCGCGATGGGGTCTCCCATTGGTCTGAAGATCAGATCTCCGGGGGATGGGTGACTGGCGTCCCAGGAAACATCCCATTTATGTGTAATTAGCCGGTAATTCGAAAAGTAGAAGAATCACCAGAATGATGCATGTTATTGGCGCTGATCAGAGGTGGTGGACACTGATTGGCTGGCGGAGGGACGATGGTGACGCATTGACGTCACTGGGTTGGGGCCAGCAATTCATTACATGACCATACACCCATTCCGACCTTGAGGGACATGGGTCAGTCATTTGATTTCAAGAGCTTGGGTAGGGGATGAGGGCATTTCCACCATGGAGCAATCTAGTTTCAAGAGCTGGGTAGGGGATGAGGGGCATTGGTCCCCAATCGGGACATGGTCCCATGAAGGTCTACTTTCAAGAGCTGGGTAGGGAATGAGGGGCATGGGTCCAGTATGACAATAACGATGGAATGATTCCGGGATGGCAGGGCCATGAATGCATATGGTTTCAATAGGCATGGGTGGGTCCCATGGAAACACTGAAGGGTCAAGATCTCCTGGGTAGGGATGACGTGTCAGCCATGGAACAATGGGTGGAGCCCAGGAAACTCCCATTTCAGATGGGTGTAATAGTGTGGGTCAGCCATGGAACATTCGAAAGCTGGGTAGGAGATGAAAAATCACCATGGAACACTGGGGTTTCAAGATTAGATGTAATTGGGTTAGCCATGGAACATTTTGTATTAGGCGATGAAAGACTTGGGGTTAGCCATGGAGAAGAGCTGGGTAGGAGATCAAAGACATGGAACACTGGGGTTTTGCTAGGTAGGATGGAGACATGGGGACAACCATGGAGCTCTGTAGTTTCAAGAGCTGGTTAGATGAAGGGAATGGGTCAACCATGAAGATTTTGGTTTCAAAAGGGCTGGGTTAGGGACATGTGTCAACCATGAAGCAGTCTACATTTAGAGCTGGGTAGGAGAATGAGGGGCATGGGTCCACCATGGAACATTTTGGTTTCAAGAGCTGGGTAGGAGATGAGGGACATGGATTAACGATGGAACATTCAAGAGCTGATTCGGGATGCATGGAGGAGCATATGGTTTCAAGACTGGGTAGGAGATGAGGGACGTGGGTTAGCCATGGAACTGGGGTTTCAAGAGCTGGGCATTGGGTCAGCCATGGAACACTGGGTTTGGTAGGAGATGAGACTTGGGTTAGCCATGGAACACTGGGTTTCAAGAGCTGGGTAGGAGATAGGGACTTGGGTGGCCATGAACACTGGGGTTTCAGAGCTGGGTAGAGATGAAAGACGTGGGTTAGTCATGGAACACTGGGGTTTCAAGAGCTGGGTAGGAGATGAAAGACGTGGGTGAGCATGGACACTGGGGTTTCAAGAGCTGGGTAGGAGATGAAAGACTTGGGTCAGCCATGGAACACTGGGGTTTCAAGAGCTGGGTAGGAGATGAAAGACATTGGTCACATGGAACATGGGGTTTCAAGAGCTGGGTAGGAATCTATGGAACACTTTCAAGAGCTGGGTAGGGATGAGGGGGTGAGCCATGGAGAGGGCATTGGTCCACCATGGAGCAATCTAGTTTCAAGAGCTGGGTAGAGGGATGAGGGATTTGATTTAAATTGGTCAGGCACCATACATAAAGACTAATTTTCTGGTTTACAAGTAGATGGGTCCCAGTTTAATAGGTTAATCATTCATGGACAACTTTTCTGTTGTACTTAGGAAGGAGAAAAATAACCATGAAGCAGATTTATTCATCTGAAACAATTTCAAGAGTGATTGGTCAGTTTGTTCACTAATTTGGCTAAACAAAATATATATATTTGACAGAAACTTAGATGTCAGGTCACACTTAGCCATGGAGATCTATTCCACTCCAAACAATCAGAAAAATATTGTTTCTATTCTATTCACTGAACTTCTGAACCTTCGCAACTGAAGGGGTTGATTCTGTATTCATAGGTTTGTAGAAGTTAGGATGAAGGTCTTTTTCTTAACTCTGAATAACATTTTTGCTGTGAAGAAGAGGCATGATCTCCGCTGAGTCAAATTCAAGAGCATCTGTGATAATATCTTGTAGGCAGAGAAACTGCCCAATAATACAAAAACCTCTGGAAGAGCATGACATGTGAATGGATTCATGGAATTTACCAAAAAAATTAAACATATACAGATTCTACATAATTAAAAAAGGATCTTTATTTCATGATGGAATAACCTTGGGACGTGGTAATATATTTTCCTCAAAAAGCAAGCGATTTAAATTATCTGAGATTTTTTAAAAAAAATCTGTTCCATGGTTTTCAAGAGCTGGGTAGGAGATGAGGGACAACATGGAGTCTACAGTTTCAAGCAGCTGGGATTTCAAGAGCTGGGCAGGAGATGAGCAATGTGATTTCAAGAGCAGAGTAGGGGTGTCCATGAGGGACATGGAACATTTTGGTTTCAAAAGCTGGTTATGGGATGAGGGGCATGGGTCAACCATGGAACATTTTGTTTTCAAGAGCTGGTTACAGGATGAGGGCCATGGGCCAACAAGGAGCATATGGTTTCAAGAGCTGGGTTGAGGGACGTGGCTCAAGCATAGAGTACTGCGGTTTTAGGAGATGGGGACAAGGGTCTACAGTCAAGCAGTGGGATTTCAAGAGCTGGGCAGGAGATGGTTGACATGGGTCAACCATGGAGCATTTTGGTTTCAAGAGCTGGGTAGGGGTTGAGGGGCATGGGTCAACCATGAAGCAGTTTGGTTTCAAGAGAGCTGGGTAAGAAATGAGGGACATGGGTCAACCATAAAGCATTTTGGTTTCAAGCTCTGGGTTGGATATGAGGGACATGGGTCTGCCATGGAACACTGGTGTCATGAGGTGAGAGACATGGGACAACCATGGAACACTGCGGTTTCAAGCGCTGGGTAGAAGATGAGGGACATGGGTCAACCTTGGAACACTGTGGTTTCAAGAGCTGGGTAGGAGACGAGAGACATGGGACAACCATGGAGCACTGTAGTTTGAAGAGCTGGATAGGAGATGAGGGACATGGGTCAACTGTCCGAGCAGTGTGATTTCAAGAGCTGGGCAGGAGAAGGACATAAGTCAATCTTGGAGCACTTTGGTTTCAAGAGCAGGGTAGGTGATGAGGGACATAGGACAACAGTGGAGCACCGTGGTTTCTAGAGCTGAGTAGAAGATAAGGGACATGGGTCAACCATAAAGCATTTTTGGTTTCAAGAGCTGGGTAGGAGATGAGGGACATGGGTCAACCATAAAGCATTTTTGGTTTCAAGAGCTGGGTAGGAGATGAGGGACATGGACCAACCATAGAGCACTGTTGGTTTCATATTCTTGGTAGGGAATGAGGAACATAGGGCACTCTGTGGTTTCATATTTTGGGTAGGAAATGATGGCCAAGGCCAACTTTAGAGCACTGCGATTTCACAATCTTGTTAGGAAAGGATGAACATGGGCATAATTATGGAACACAGGTTTATCACAAGTTGAGCAGGAAATGACTGACATGGGCCAACCATGGGGAGCTCTGAGGTTTCCACAATCTTGTATTACTTCTCCTACTGGTAATCTAGAAGCCTGTCTTCATGGGGACGGAGCTCTGAAGAGGTTATAACTCCGTGTTCTGTTTTGCAGAGCAATGGCCAGTCCTCGGTCAAGGAAAGTCTTGAAGGAGGTTCGAGTACAGGATGAGAATAACGTAAGTCAACCTTTATTGATCTTAGTGAGTGATGTCACTTCCTGGGCGGTTTCATATCTAAAGCCAAACCTTTTTTTGCTCATTTAGTTTTCAATAGAATGTGGAAGGATTTAGAACCTCTTAAACATGTTTTACCACAATAGGTCACCTATTTAGGGGGATCTACCTTGCTTTATTTCCTCCACCTAACATTGTATTGATGTTCTTTCATAGTCCTGTGAACAGGTTGAAGGCCAGGGGGGACAGGATCTGAATAGTGGTGTCACCTTCTATCTGAATCGCAGGAGTAGCTGAACAGATTTACAAATATTTTTTTTAATGGAGTTCAACTTTCGAGAGAGCCACTAATGGTAACAGAGATGCTGAAGTACCAGAGATAAACATTAGTAGACCTTAGCGTTCATAATAGTTGTCCAGATGGTGCTCCATCCTTTGGGGACTTTGCTGGGGTAGGTTAGTATGTAGATATTGACCAGCTGTCCTGGTCCTACCTTCTGCCCTTAACTGTTAGGTGATCACTTTGATTGATAGGACCTTGGACCTTTGACCAATAACGAGGCACAGAAGGTTGAAAAAGCAGGGCCAGTCTTAGTACGAGGCAACTTTTGTTGGTAGGACTGTTGCATTGTACAGTGGAATCCGAATGGCTGTTTATGGGATCATCTCAGTAGCCATGAACTCTTTCTTCTAGACCTGCTTTGAGTGTGGGGCGTTCAACCCTCAATGGGTCAGCGTGACCTATGGTATCTGGATATGTCTAGAATGTTCCGGAAAACATCGGGGCCTTGGAGTTCATCTCAGGTGAGTGTCTTCCATCTGTCATTCTATTTTTTTTTTAGTGAAAATAAACACGATGGATTCTATTTCCTTTTGCAACAACTTGATGTTGTCCTCTATTTATGCATTTATTTTACCTTGGAACAAGCCGGTTCTTTGCACACGGAAGGGAAGCAACAGGTTCTCTTTAATGCTCCTTTTCCTGGAAGCATACTGATCTTTGCTTCACTCCCCTGTCCTTCCAAAGAGGAGCCAAGAAAATAACCAACAATTCTGGGAGTGGAGGAGCATGTGACTTTCTCCGCAGAACCATGCTTGGTGATTGGCCCAGCACTATCACGTAGAATGGGGAGATGGCCTTGTGTGAGCTCCAACTGGAGGCTAGAACCTACGTTTCCACCCATTGGAGTTGGAAGGTGTGACTATCCCGGGGGGGGGGGGAGGTGGGCATGTGACTGGATGAGAGGGGCACTTCACCATTATGGAAGAAATGCAATGGCAACCTCAATGCCAAACCAGAACCCCGGCCATCTTAGAAGGGTTCTTCTAAGGTCAGTTCTCATTTCTTGTGACCAGTCATCTTGGCTGACCTTCTTTTGAAAATTGGTTGACCCTTGGGCTTTAATACTTTGAGTTGCTGTCTTTTTCAGTGAACCTGACTTTTTCCTGTTGTACATTTCAATAAATTATATACGCCCCGGTGTTTGACTTAACTGCTGCATCAAGGTGGAAGTTAAGGAGGACTAATGGGGGGCATAGGCCCTGACCCTTACCTATGGGGTGGAGAGCAGGAGCTGCCAGCACCTCCCCACATGACCTCACCTACATCATATCCTAGTTGTCCACCTCCTATGGTCTGCCTTAGTAGTGGCACCAACCTTCTTACACGGGCAAAGCCAGGAGGCATTAATATGGCCACCATCTTGGTGACCAGCGGACCAATGAAGGTGGAAGCACAGCCGTCTCTATCTTTTTGACTGACCAATCCAGGGAACTCCCACATTTCTTTCGGTGGTTGATCACCTGTGTGTTTTTTTGGTTTTTTTTTTGCGCTATAAACAAAAAAGACCAAATTTTTTAGAAAAAAACTATATTTTTGACTTTTTGCTATTTAAACATCCAGTAAAATTTAAAAAAAAATCTAATTTTTGTCATAAATTTAGGCCAAAATGTATTTGCTAAAAAAAAAAAATCCTAATACGTGTAAATTAATTGGTTTACGTGAAAGTTATAGCGTTTTATACATGGTGGTATAGATACTGGGGATTTTTTTTTTTTCTACTAGTAATGGCGATCAGCGGCTTATAGCGGGACTGTGTCGGGCATTCTGACACTGGGGGGGGGGGAACTGACTTGGTGTCACTGACATCCCCAGTGACACCAATACAGTGATCAGTGCTAATAAAAGGCACTGACACTGTACTGAGCCCCTCTTATATGCAGCTGATGTTGCCGTGTTTTCTTCCTCCCAGCTTTGTCCGTTCGGTCACTATGGACAAGTGGAAGGACGTGGAGCTGGAAAAGATGAAGGTTGGTGGTAACGCCAAATTCCGCCAGTTCCTGGAAACGCAGGAGGACTGTGACCCCTGCTGGAGCCTACAGGAGAAGTACAACAGCCGAGCAGCAGCCCTCTACCGTGACAAGGTGAGACCCCCCCCCCCCCCCCATCCTCCCCCATCCGAGGGGAACTGACGACTGAGCTGTGACATGGATATAAAAAGATAAACTCTTAAATCAGATGTACATCTTTTAAAGGGTAAAGCCACCCAAGGAAAGTTACCTATTTCATGGGGAATCTTATTAGTGAGATCTCAGGAGTTCTCACCATCCCTGTGTTGAGTTCTTGAGTCTGTACACCTGCTGTGCCCATTATGAGGGGTTCCCACCATACCTGTGATGGGTTCCTGGGTCTGTACACCCGCTGTGCCCATTATGAGGGGTTCCTGGGTCTGTACACCTGCTGTACCCATTCTGAGGAATTCCCACCATACCTGTGAAGGGTTCCCGGGTCTGTACACCTGCTGTGCTCATTAAGAGAGGTCCCCACCATCCCTGTGCTGAGTTCCCAGGTCTATGTGCCTGCTGTGCTCATTATGAGGGGTCCCCACCATCCCTGTGCTGAGTTCCCAGGTCTATGTGCCTGCTGTGCCCTTTATGAGGGGTTCCCACCATCCCTGTGCTGAGTTCCCGGGTCTGTACACCCACTGTGCCCATTATGAGGGGTTCCCACCGTCCCTGTGCTGAGTTCCCAGGTCTGTACGCCTGCTGTGCCCACTATTAGGGGTTCCCACCATCCCTGCTGGATTTGATATTTTTTTTCTTCTATCCATAAAAGGCCCAAGGACTGAGCTGGGAATCATGGCAGGAAACTCTTGCAATTGGGTGTGTAGACTCTGTAGTGTTCTGTGGTCGCTGGCCGCTCACAGACTTTTATGTAAAAGCCAACAAATGCTCTTGCTACAACTAGCTAGAGCATTTATAATGCCAAGTGCCCTGAGAAATGCCACGCAGCCATCACCAGAGTGTATGGTGACGGGAAGTGGCAGCGAAGATGCTGCAGGAGATCAGCAGCACTTGGATGCAAGGGTAAAAGAAAGACAAGAACAGGATTTTATTAAAGCAAATATTCGATACACCGTACAATGGGAATATAAATGTCATTCATTAGAGTTCACATCTCCCTTCACACTTCTCAGGTTGCTACGTTGGCTGAAGGCCACGAGTGGTCAGAGGAGACCTCTTCAGCCCGAAATTGGACTCCTCCGCAGCCAAAGGTGATGGGCGGCCCATCTCAGCGGTAAGACATTTCTGGCTCTTCTCTCCCTGGTCATGTGACGTCTCTGGCCCAGTGGGATTCTGATTGGCTAATGAGACCAATCTGTGTCCTGTTTCTCCATACCCAGCTCTGTGGGAAGCGGCAACACCGGAGGGAGCTCTGGAGACAAGGCGTTTGAGGACTGGTTGAATGATGACGTCAGTTCCTATCAGAGGTAAGGGACGCTCAGACTTCCAACTGCAGACTGTAACGGAACCGACCCAGTCTGCACTTGGGTACTTCTGTTATAATACCGCTTCCCCGTCCGTACACTGACCACGGACACCACCGCTGACCATACTAGACGACACCAGTCTTGAAGTAAACAGACTACTTTATTTGAACACAGATACAAGATATATACACTCAGGGGACAGTCCCCCCTCCCTGCATAATGACACAGGGCGGGGCAATCTACATTGTTAACAAGAGACACACGGGTATTCAAACTTCACACCAGAATACAGTCCCATCAGGGGGAGGGCTGCTGGAGACCCCCCCCCCCCCCCCCCCAAGCTAATACACATACATTCCATAATCGTTTGCTCCCAAGTAAGACACACAATAGAACAATGGGATGCAACCACATGGCATTAAACAATACACAACCCCCCACCCCAATATTATGACAGATCACCCTGTACCCCTTACACATAAGCGGGATATGGGGAGCTGAGACAGGGGTCTCCCCACCTCTCCAAAGTAAGCTGGGTTCTATGGGCCCCCCACCCAAAGTGTCTCCCTACAGACCTGTACAGATGCAGCGTGGGGGGTGGGCAATGGGCAGACCTGTATAGATGCAGCATTGGGCAGAACTAGGTGCCATGTGACCTCTTTAATCACTTCCTGTCCGGACACTTTCACCCCCTTCCTGTCCGGACACTTTCTTTCCGGACACTTTCCCCCTTCCTGTCCAGGTCAATTTTTAGCTTACAGTGCTGTCACACTTTGAATGACAATTGCGCGGTCATGCAGCACTGTACCCATAGGAATTTTTTAGTATTTTTTTGAAACATAAAACTTTATTTTGGTGGTATTTATTTACCACGGGGGTTTTTATTTTTTGCTATATAAATGAAAAAGTCCCAACATTTTGAAAAAAGTGTTTTTTCTTATAAAATTTTTATATATATAATCTTTCTTCATAAATCGTGGCCAAAATGTATTCAGTTATCTTTTTAGTAAAAAAAAAATAACCAAAATTAGTTTATAACCGGAAATTTTAATTTTTCAAAAATTGTTTTTACATTTTTATTTTTACATACTTTCACCCTAGCAGTACAGTGTCACCATGGTGACACTGTACTACTTGTGGGGGGTGATGAAGATTTTTTTTTTTTTTGTGTGT